TTAACATGCATCGCCCTCTCAGACACAGGACACTGACACCGAGCCCACCAGTCCCACCCCTTTACGCCGAGCAGGATAACGACAAGAACCATTTAACAAATGTTATATTTGGGATAAAGCTCTCTTAGTAAAGTATAGATACTAGTACCTTTGGGGGTTCTGGTCCCATCCGGGATTCGAACCCACTTACACTTGTCAGAGGGGTACACAAAGTACGTGAACTAGACTAACAGGTGACTTTCATTTTTTGTTGAAGCCTCGGTGTCTGAGTGGGTTAGATCGTTGACTTTGTGTGCTGGCGATTAGGTGCCTCACTCTGGCAGTGTGGGTTCGAATCCCGGGTGCGACCCAACCCCCCAAAGTACTAGTATCTGTTCTTTACTAAGAAAGTGTTATCCCAAATATAACATTTGTTACATTTGACCACTTTCTAAATGGCATCGTGAGAATAAGTACAATCTTTTAACGTCTTTTGGTATGATGCGGCCGGGGATCGAACACCGGACCTTCCGCTCTCCTGGCGAACGAAGACATGAAAGAAGCGTAGAAGTAGCAAATACAGTTCGCATGACAACACTGTTGTCGTCTATCGCACTTGTTACAACGGATTGTCCCTCTGACATACACGTATAATACAATTATGTATCGCCATATCAGTCCCAGACATAATAGCTTACTAAACTGGCGGGGTAAAGAAAGTTTGATTTGAATGGATTGACTATGTCAAAACGCTACTTGTCGCCGCAAAACTGCAAACGTAAGGTTAAAACACACCGATGGTATGCGTCGGTGTCAAAAACATCACATTCGAGTAACCGTTTGTTTCATTTTTAGTCACTTTTAAACATGGATGTTTACTTTCTTGTGCCGGGCAGTTTATAACAGAGAACAAGACATTTTACCATCAACTGGACACGGTGACTGTCATTGTCCGTACGACCTACAATGTGCAGCACTGTGTCAAAGAATATTATTTAACTGCCTAAGTTTGACATACAATGACGTCTAATATATGTCCACTGGAAGACGTCCTATCCACAATGAAGGACCATCAGCATCTAAATTCGAGTTCAATTAAGATTTGACCTTCACTTTGTGTGAGTTCATTGGAGTATGAACCTTTATAGAATGAGGGCCAAACTGTATGAACATCCGAGCTTGCGACGAAGTTCATACAATGTTTGGCCCTCACTCTATGGAGGTTCATACTCCAATGAGCTCACACAAAGTGAAAGTCAATTCTTATAATTTTTTATCACATTTTCTTACCTCAAAGGATGTAGGCCAAGATCTAAACACAATTTTATTTAGTGCTGTGACTTCATGTTTACACTGACAGCCATACAACAACCAGCTATATCGCGGAGTAAAATAGTTCCTCAAAAAGAGAGGTGAAATGGGCGTATGGGTGCACAACTTGCTCTTCAGAAACATCTTACGCAGCACATGTGATCAAATCATAACCTTATTAGATGAGAAAGGTCTGTAAAGAACTACCTCAGTGAGGCAGTCATAATGACAGCGCGTCGTAATACATTTACATAAAGTACAAGACGTCAAAATGGCCGACACAATAAACGTGACGGGAGAGATTTCCGAAGTTGTTAATGAACCTGTGGCGGTTACATGTGTTAGGCATCATTGATCATTGAAAGGTGAATAAAGATGCGTCAAACAGACACTAAGGTAAATTCATAGATTGCTGGAGACGGCCAATGTCAGCCTAGGCCTAGGCACTAGTCGATACTACGATAGTTTAGATGTGCATTTCTTCGTTTGTTCATTAGGATAGGCCGCAGAGAGAATATTCGTGAACAATCATGCAGTCACGCTCTCTGACATTTCTCAATGTATACTGAAACGCTGAGACCAAGAATAAATGTTCTAAATGATCAGAAAGAACGATTATGTATGTTTTCGTGCTAGGGAATTCCCAGGGGTTTCCCCAGGAATGTGGAAGTAGTCCGTCAGTGTTAACGTCATTTCAAGAACACGATCTCGTGAAAAACGTATGAACGTCAAATTTGCCGACATGTGACCGACCTCTCGTCCAGTGAAAAGCCGTACATCGTGTAAACTTCAAATAACAAAAATATTACTAATTGTTTTACCTTTTGTTTCGTGAATCTAAAATAGCGGAAACACCTGAATGCAGAATAATTGTACGGTAATTGGTGTCTTTGAACATTGGAGGTAGTGATGTATACACAATCTCTATAGTGATTTATGGATGTGCGTTGATAGTCTGTTTGTAAATCTTCAGGGAACACTCCTGCAATGTTTATTGTACAGCAGAGAATATAATGGTGTGAGTTAATTATTGATCTATGTAAGGATCTGCCGGATAAAGTGAATGCGATAGAAAAACAGCGTTGTCACGTTTCTGTGTACAAGCCAATAAGCAGCAAATATCAACCCACCATATGTCGAACTCGGTTAAGTCAAGCTAGATTGTATCAACTCATGTTGTCATCAAATGATCAATCCCTCAACCCCGGTTGTCTCGAGATACTTGAACTTGAGCGCAACCCTTTGTGCCAAGCATAATCTTTATCAGTTCCTTTATCCCATAACTCCGGGTATATGAGAATATTGTTTACCTGAGACACCGTCTCAGGTAAACCTGTCTATATCAAAACTTGAGATGGATGGTGATACATATGGATTTTTTAAATTTGAACAAACGACCGGTGTACAAGTGAGCGCCCTGTTTCACTCGAGTCAATTCGGGTTGTTCCGCTAACTGCGTAATACCTTGTACACCAATGCAGTAAAGATATTGTATGGATTCACTGTAAACCGTGTAACGCAAAATCCCCTTACATGGAGACGACCGTTTTATGACAGGTTAAGAGAAATTAGGTATAGACTTTGATTTGACTGAGTGAGTTAGAATGGTTTCACGCCGCCTTTTGCAATATTCTAGCAATATCACACCAGAATGGGCTTCATTCCCATGTTGGGATTTGAACCCGGATCTTCGGCGTGACGAGCGAACGCTTTAACCACTAAGCTACCAAACCGCCCTTATTGGAAAACTAAAACAACGTGAACAGTTATATAAGAGACTCGACTGCCACCGGGCTGTGTTTTGCCACGTGATAGTAACGTGCAAGCAGCTAGTACCAGTATGGATTATGGGCTGAACAAAGACCCTCTGTATAGGCTCCCTACTATTAGTGGTAGCTCTGTTGCAATTGGACTGAAATGAGCCGAGTGCTGCGTACTTAACAACGATATTGTTGAAAAACGACGAAATGGATTTTCTCACAACAAAAACTGCAAGAATTGCTCGAACCGTATTATAAAACAAGGAAAGGAGATAAATATTTCATAACCGCAAAATCCGATATTGATATTTTTTACATTAAATATTTAACTGGGGAAGCGTTGGATGTTGACATGACCTGGCAGATTGTATCGTAGGTATTATGTGAAATAATAATACTTCACATCCACACAATATTCAAATTGGTTTATGTGGTAAGAGTAGTGCTGGCATTTCCATCGATATGAGGTAGTTGCCGTTATTACCGATTTACCGTTATGCAGAAACAGAGCAAATGTCTGTTGGTGTGTGCCATTCTCAGCCGCCATACCCATATCTTTATGAATGCCAAGAAAGCAGGAAGCCCATTGCGTTCTTTCGTTCAAGTTCATCTCAAAGTCTGCCTAAGATGATCCCTTGGTGACAGATATCTGCGATAAAGACGACAGAACGGTCTCTCTAATTATATGTATAGAACTAACAAAGAGGTCTGGGAGAGCTAATTGCATTGCGTCTGAGACAGAGACCTTCAGCAAAACTCCAGATGAATTCCAAACTGAATTAAGTCTACATAAAATAGAACAATTCCGTTTGTCTGAGAACTGCGTGCCGTCGATGAAAATGTCAAGTGTGAAATTAATCTGAGACATGGTAGCAGTAATTGCTTTGACGGGTCCTCTTCATCAACCTATGTTAAGCATTCGGAAACAAGCTTCCAAATTTCAGCTTTGGTGATGGTGTAATAAGCATAGCTTAACAAAGACGGCTCCAGAGCTAAAGTGATGTAAAGCACTATGTTGTCATTTCGCTTTCCATCGTTGGCGTAACTGCATCATATACATGCGAACGGGTGACAATGTTGGCATAGCCATATGGAAGCGAGATGTTCATATGTAGACTGGAATTTTAACTCTTTAATTATAATGTATTGTTACAAATAGGTGACATTACGTAAACGGTAAAATTGACGATGAGCCCAAACCATGTTTCATTCGAAATAACTCGAGTTTGTGAAGCGTGAAGTGGTGGGAACCGTGAATTACAGTGTTTGATTATACTGAGGAAGAGCACGCCATATGCTCGTCATGATATATCCTGCCACAGCACCGGGCACAACATTAACTTCACATCCTGGAGCCGAGTTTGTTATTTTGTATTACATTCGATAAAAAAAAATAGCAGATCGTATATTTGTGTTGGTGTCTAAACATTGTACGCCGCACCAAGTTAGATTACCTATATTCGTGCACTCTGGCATCCCTTTTATGTCCCGCTATGTGGCAATAAATCAAATAATGCCATGTTATGCGACACTTTGCCACACCCTGCCACGCCCTTCCACATCATGCTACACGATGACATGATACAAAAAGCATACCAAGTCTTACTTTCACTCTTTGACAACATTTCATTGACGTATTGCTGATATGTTCACGTTTCGTTCAAAGTGCACGATATAGACACCGATAGGTTATAAGCATACACACCTGAACACCAATGATCTGCTCGCAAGTAATTCTAAGATTCTAAGATTCCAATTTTAAGATTTTAAGTTTTATGTATCCCAATTTGTCCTTCAGTACATTTACACGCCCACGGCACATTAAATGATGATTCAGTTTGTTTCTGACTGAAATGTATAATTTATTAGATTTGCAAAAAATACTATTTTCATCAATTTAATGTTTTGAAACTGTTACCGCCATATTTATCACACACAATCCTGCTTCAGGAAAAGGCTGACATCGGCGAGGTGATGTTGTCCCTGTGCTATCTACCAACTGCTGGAAGACTGACGCTCACGGTTGTCAAGGCGAGAAACCTGAAGGCAATGGATATCACTGGTTCCTCCGGTAAGACCACACAGCTGCTCTGCTCAACAGTAATCGAATATCAGCTGCACAGTCGACATCATTGGATAATTAGTTCTTGTAACAATAATACTGTCGTGGCGAAATTTGGAACCTAAAGTACACACATGAATAGATATTGATATTTTCTGAAACAATGCAGTCGGGATTTTTTACGTTGAGGTGTGTTTCAATAGAAGTGAGCCGCAGCTGAAAATTCATGGTGTATGTTCAGCTTAAAGATAAGGTGTAATGCAAATATCCTTCGAGACAAACCTTTTTATGATAAGAGTTCTTAGGGGACAATTGTGTCTCTGATCTCATTACATTATTTTTGTGTCTCACGTGAAAGATGTTAATGTTTTCTTTGATAAATCATTTAGAAATGCATGGTAAAGACGCGGTGTTTCGTGTTTGACAGCTCAGGAATGTTTCTCTGAATATGAAACATTTCACTCTAGGAGTGAGATAAAATAGGGTTTAACGACGCGTCAAAGATTATTGCATGTACATAGCGACGTGTGTCTGTTTGTGTGTGTGTGTGTGTGTGTGTGTGTGTGTGTGTGTGTGTGTGTGTGTGTGTGTGTGTCTGTGTGTGTGTCTGCGTGTGTGTGTCTGTGTGTGTGTTGCTGCTTGTACTACCCCGATCTAATATCGAGTCTATAGTTCTAGACCACTGAGATACCATGCCTCAGTTTAATAGGAATACCCCATTCAGACACAGTACACTGACCCCGAGCCGACCATTCATTGTTTGGACCCTAAAAACCGAGTGCCGAGCAGGGCAGCCATTCACTATAGGAACACACATGCGAAAAATGCAATGCTATAAACACTGGATAAGGCAGTAGGTGCATAGTACACATCTGCGTTGGAAATAGTAGAGTAGTGTCACCGCCTGAAGTAAGCTCATTTGTTTAAAACCGCGTAATATTTGTGTTATCGCGTAGAGCATATGAAAGAAAAATCATATCTGTTAATCAATCCAGTGTTGACGCTACACCCGTGTATTAGGAATGTTGTAGTATATGATATGTATCACGAGTGAGGTGGGCTTAATGCCCGTTTATAAAATAGTGTCAGCATAATGTTGGGAAAAGAGCTGAAGTCTTAGATGTTTGATTACCGCTTTAAGGACAATATGGTAAAGTGTTGACAAACCAAGGTTCAAAATCACAGCGAATCTGGGATTGGAATCCACAATCATAAGACCTTAGCACTCCTTGGGGCAGGGACGGGACACAGTGAATTACTGGGTCTTAGGCAACTGTGCCATTCATGTTCCCCGTTGTCTCGTGAAGTGAATAACAATCGGCCTCTTCTCTGCTGCTGACACTACAATGCATGTTTATTATTTCAGACCCTTACGTTAAGGTGTCCCTGATGTGTCAAGGCAAAAGAATCAAGAAGAAGAAAACCTCCGTTCAGAAGAATACTCTTCACCCAGTATTTAACGAGGCTCTTGTGTTTGACGTCCCCCAGGAAAGTGTAGAGGACGTGTATCTTATTGTCAAGGTTGTGGACTATGACAGGTGGGCCAAAGAGAGATTTGTATTTTTAAAGAACATGGTGTATTCGCTATTACCATGGGGACTTTTCTCTACAAAATAAATTATTTAATGATCCTAGAAAACATGACACCAAAGAATAGGTTGAGCGGAAAGGTAATAATTCAGTCTCTTATTGAATTGCAGCCCATTAACATTCTCCTCATTATGTAAGAATCGATCGAATATCGTATTTATGTCTACTTTTAATCGACATAGCTAAATAAGTAAATAATGTATAATATGACAATTGAAAAGGCGAGGCCCTATATTTCAGAACCATATTACTCCGGTATTGCTTTATACATGATTGGATGTGTGACATTTTTCAATAATGACACATAACGCATACAATTAACAACAGTAAATATAAATTAAAAAATCCATTTGGTCAGGGTAGGGCCTGGAAAGGGCTGAAATTGGATACTGGTATATTATTCCTTCAATGGTGGTATTTAAATAGGAAATATATTCAGCCAGTCTTTTCCCATAAAGTAGACAAAAATATTGTCTCTGAAATGAACATACGTCACAGAAAAACAGTTGCTAAATTATCTTAAAAAAATATAATGAAAAAGAGCACTGAGACACTCTTCATTTTTTGCACTGAAACTACAGTAATCTAGAATTGTCCACTATTATAGACTTTCATGGGCTGTTTTGGATATATTTGTTTCAGGGTCTGTATTTCAGACTACCCATAAAGGTCTACGGTTATTTCTTACTAACTTACTCTTACCTGTTGTCTTCGGGCAAAAACCAAAGGCTGAATCCAAGCATTTGGCAAGGAAAAGATTATGTTCGTGACAAGAATGTCACAACACCGAATCAGAATTCCTAATTCTCTTGTTAGTGAACAGTTTGCGGAGTAGGTAAACAAATGTGACATGAATGGTTGTGGCAGGCGTCAGTAAGGGGAGTTAGTTCTTAGTTAATTTAAACACACTCTGCAATAATTAAATAATTGATAAACACAATATGCACAACTATTGAAGTAAATATTTTATCTACGAATTCTTAGTCTTTTTCATACCAACGCTTTAATGTAGCTATATATTGTTTAACAGAATCGGGAGTGATGAGCTGATGGGGAGTGTTGCTCTTGGACCCAAGTACAACGGCCTCGGGCGCGACCACTGGTACGAGATGCTAGAGAACCCCCGCAAACCCGTGGCCCAGTGGTATCCCCTGCAGGAACACCTCCCTGCTCCTTCCAGCATGACCCCCAACGGCAAGTGCTGTCTACGCCAACGCCAATCAACGGAAGACTCTAATGACGGAAGCAGCGTGATGTGAGCAGTCAGCCAATCAGAGCCTTTGTTTCACTTCACTTTGCGCCATGTTCGCATGACAACCAATCGTACGGTTGCAGGTTGCAGGTACCAGCCAATGAGTATCGAGATGGCAGAGGAAGTCACACGTTCATCTGGCGATGATAACGTTGTGGGGATGCGGTTCAGGACGGTTGGGATTTTGAAACGTGCCAGTTTCTGCATGAGCGATCAGCATGCCAAAAGGGCCTGAGAACCATGGATGGACTTTCAAGAAGATCCGTTTTGCATTAATACTTTCTTTGTAAAGGTATATTTGTTTGTTTGGTATACACTATATAGTATGTGTTCATTCATTAACAGTAGCTGTTCTAGATAATTGTGCTTTTGGATTAAGTATATTTTTAATCATTTCCCTGATATATCAAACGTTAACTGTCCTTAACCACATACAGAACACCTTAGCTACTTATCTTATCATACCGATACACCGGTATCATTTCTGTAATCTGTTCATATTTAAAATACATTTCTGATGAGTGTATTAAATGACAAATAGACGTTCTGAATTGAGTTTATTCCATTACAGGTATTTAAGAAAAATATGCACATTCCAAAACATGTGACTGTTCCATACATTCTCGGTGAAAAACGAACTGGTGTATTATTCAGTATCTTTAACATTTCGATTATTTTCGAAATTTTCTTAATAATGTTTGCATTTTCTTTGCAAGTTTTTTTACTAATAGCCTTGTTGTTGTATGAGTTATCCAAACCGTAAGCATATGAAGATTAGCTGTGGAATTATAACAAATGCCCTTTGAGTATAAACTGAAATAAACCATTTCTCTACTACAGAAAACTGACATTTTGCTTCGAGCATATGGATTCTTCCACAGTAGTATCATATTACGTATTTTTGTATGAGTGAAACGTACAAGAGAATATGTAGGCATTATTGAAAACGGACTTTTCAGAACAACATTAATATATTATTAAAGGTAAATAGAATGTCTATTAGAAGTGAGGTTAGAAATACCAATAAGGTCAGTTATTCATGAATATATTATTATGTTAAAATAGTCATTTTCAATTCTGTGGAGCTTTATGCGTATTTGATAAATTTCAAAGATGTTGTAAGAGTATTATTATGTCATATATCCAAAGTGTACTTGTGCTATACACATGCAAGAATTGCCCAAGAGGCATGATATTATGAGTATAGAATTCGAAACATCCTAATAAGGTCGTACGAAGGTCACAATGATCATTCGCTTGTTTGTTGAAAATCATTTGATTTATTGTTGATTAATATTAGATTATATATATGTATGAATTATTAGTCGTGCAGTATTCTGAACCAATGAAATGTGTGAATTTAAATTCAAAGTAATATATATTTTTCAACATGTGACCTTCGGCAGAGTTGGTTATGGTTATCGTCAACACATTCCGTGTTAGTTTTATATTTTGAATACGTATTTTACACTTTTACATACTATTACCGTTTCTATACACGTGACCTTTTGCTATGTTTGTTAATGTTCGTAAATTGCACATGTGTACTTTCATATATTATAACCATATATACATTCTCAAGGCTTGCTCATCAAGTTATTTGACTCTTTACGGATTGCAGATTATTACTTTACAAACAACGTCTTTACTAATGATTGAAACCCTTTCCGTTGCAATTGGCACATTTTGTCGTCTCAAGTTGTAAAAGCTGTCACAGAATATCAAGCTTTCTGTGTTCCTTGGCAAGCATTGAATACCATATCATCATTGTGATAATCCTTTCATATCGTTGTAATAATCCTTTCAGTCGGGACGATCTACCATCAGTGTCTATAACATATTAGTCATACATGAATACTTGACATCGACAAAGGCACTTGAAACATTATATGATATACGAGGGGTGTTCATTAAAGATTTCCCCTAAACTACTTAGGGTTATCATATTTGGTTGAAATTGCACATGTGTAATGATACATGTATCTGTGGGTTATGTCTGAATTTGCAGCACCGAACTATTAATCGTACCACTTTTACAGGTGTTATAATCGAGTAGGGTGTGACAATGGAGCCAGTAGAATACCGAGCAGTGATTAGTTTTTATATTTGAAAGGTCGCACACCAAAAGAAACTTTCGATGAAATGAAAGCAACTTATGGGGAAGATGCCCCATCATATGACGTTGTTAAACACTGGCATCACCAGTTCAAGTGTGGTCGGACATCTGTGGAAACAGCTGCCATTCCTGGTCGCCCCCATTCAGCCATTAATGAGGACACTACTAGTGGAGACCGCCATTTTGGCAGACCGACGTATAACTGTTCGCCAGTTAGCACAAGATGTCAAGATCAGTGTAGGGTCTGTGGAAAAAATCATCCATGACAATTTGAACATGCATAAGGTGTCTGCACGATGGATTCTCAGGTTGCTCACACCTTTCCAAAAGCAGGAACGAGTCAATTGCTCAAAGGATCTTTTGGACATGTGCAAAAAAAACAGGCAAACATTTTTGACAGACTTATCAAACAGGATGAAACATTGGTCCATCACTATGATCCTGAGACTAAAGTTCAGTCGATGCAATGGAAGCATGTGGAGTTACCAACCCCAAAGAAGGCACGTGTCCAACCCTCTGCAGGCAAGGTCATGCTCACGGTGTTTTGGGACCAGCACGGAGTAGTGATGATGGATTTCTTGGCAAAGGGTACCACAATTACAGGAGCTTATTATGCTTCACTGCTGCGGAAATTGCGGGACGCTATCAAGCTTAAGAGGCGTGGCATGCTGACCAAGGGTGTCCGTCTCCTGCAAGACAATGCTCAAGTACACAACTCTCATGCTGCCCAGACAGAAGCGCGGTCCTGTGGTTATGAAATCCTTCCACATCCTCCTTACTCTCCTGACCTTGCACCATCTGACTTCCACCTCTTTCCAACCATGAAGTCATTTTTTAACGGAAAACGTTTCACAGATGATGAAACACTGATTTCTGAAGTCAAGTTCTGGTTTGAGACGCAAAATGAGGGCTTTTACAAGCGAGGTCTCCATAGTTGCATAAAACGATGGGAGAAATGTGGTTCCTATGTGGAGAAAGACTAATACCTATGCCAAGTTTCATTCCACTAGGTCCATCGGAAGTGGGTCAGGGGGAATTTTTAATGAACACCCCTCGTAGCTGTACTGAGGAATTTTGAGTAAAAGTAAAAGTAAAAGAAATTTCCATTTTCACTTCAATTGCAATAATTTTCATTGATAAGAGGTAGATGCATACATATAATGGACAATTAAGCAACCTTTTTAAAATAAAATTAACAAAATATTCAAGATCAAATAACAGGAGGAGGAAGCAAAGATGTGTTATTTTCTGAAAGACACGGTGAAAAGATATATTTTATCTCGTTACATGTGTAAACTGCACATTTTTAAATCGTGTTCGTGCTGACGAGGCCTCAAATAACATAACCATTATATGTGAGCATTACATTAATATTGGACCAAAGAACCTGGTATAAGTGACATATCAAATAATGCCACATATAAGGCCAGTATGTTAACTGAGGAAGGAATCTGCCCAAACCATGCATCAGTACTATCATTTTTTAGCTTGCTCTAAAACTATTCCTCCTTTGTATGGAAAAACTTCATTCCTTGATCCATTTGGTCATTTGTCACAAAAAGTGGTGATCATTGATGTAGTTAAATCACCATCTTGAAGGGTTTGAGAAACCAAATGTCATCTGAAGGTTACTTAGAAAACAATATGCGAAATGTTGGACTTCAACATTGATAACAGCTATTTAAGAATTGGGATAAGACATTTAGGCAACAAGTAGGCATTCCCTGGGACATCAAATCAATTGTGATCCCCGCCTTGCTGATTTGTTTCTGTTTGAATAACAATAGGAATTTCTATTCGAATTCAGCCAAGGGGTTTCACTGACGCTGCAGGTATATGTTTCATATGTAATAGATGTATGCATAAAGATTCAGAGTCCACAAGACTGTATGGCAGGAGGGGTACCTTCATGTCAAAGCAAATTCCAGCAGCTCAAGATGTCTACATTTCACAACTGTTGAGGTACCATCAAGCATACTCTTTCTACGAAGACTTCAAAGAGCGTCATACGACTCTTGCTCAAAAGTTGTTTGATCGGGGTGACAACATTCAAAGCCTCAGTGAGACACGTGGAGACCATTTACATATCTGACACATCAGTGACCGAAAGTGTGTCCAGTGTAATTCCCTATGTTGACTTATACCAGCTGTGCTCGTGTTTGTACGGGTGAACACTTAAATGTCCTTGGCATGCGTCTGTGACGTCTGTGACTTGGCATGCGTCTGTGACGTCTGTGACTTGGCATGCGTCTGTGACGTCTGTGACTTGGCATGCGTCTGTGACGGGTGCCACGGAGGAGCAGATACGCTCACCTTTTCGCGAACACCTGGTATCATCACTAATTGACAGTGATGCATAAACATATACATATGACATAGTCGGAATCGTACAACGGACTCTGTTTTTAGCAGATGTGTTTTGTGTTAATAAAATGGTTTTGTAGCTTTTATTTAAGATCCAATTTCCCAACAGGTTTTCTGTAATTATGAGTGCACTCTATAATATTAAAGCTTTAATTCAAACAATTGAACATATCCGTGAAGGAATATACAATCTTGACGCTTCGTGCAATCAATATGTGTGCTGTCGCGAAAATCTAACACAAATGATAAATCCATGTGATATGTGATCACCATTATTGAGAAACGTCGTTTCCATAACAATGGAATGACATGGAATGCCATCAGTGAGTAACAAACGTAACAGACATGGGGCGTGAGAAAACAGCATATTGATTTCTTTCATCTTGGTCCTTCTAAATATCTGGCAAAAAACATACAGCTACAGAATTCTACAAAACACATAATGGGCTAAAAACAGTCGATAAAATCGATTATTGTATTGATCTATTTTGCACAGCAGCGCTTCAGGCCTCAGTGATCGCAGATTGTTATCACAGCGGGGACAATCATTGAAATATCACCCAGGAAAATAAATTATGTAATGTGTTATACTTCGTTAATCCTGACGATTCATCAGCTATTCTTCACTAGAATCAATAGTTTGGTGACCCGTAAAGATCCGGGTAGAAAACAGGTCTTCAGCAACCCATACTTGTCGTAACTGGCCACGAACGGGAACGGGCTGGTCAGGGATCGCTGACGTGGTTAATGCAGATCGATGCTCATGTCTATCACTGGATTGTCTGGTCCAGACTCTTTTATTTACAAACCGCCGTCATATAGCTGTAATACTGCTGAGTGCGGCGTTAAACAACAAACAAACAAACAATAGTTTGGTGCATAATCCTAAATACTAGAAGCGCCCGTAAAATCAAATACCATCACATTTGTTTACGACCATAAAGGATACTGTTTGTATCAATCTTAAAGTTCACGATTATCCTACTTACATAGATACCTGGTCACTGTATATGTGGGCATTCCGAATACATCTGTTCATATTTTGTTTCAAATGATATAAATTTGTGGATGCATATATTATCTGAATTTCATGAAAAGCGTGCAAGTCATTGTTCATACCTGTTATAAGTTGTCAAGTGGTTGTCTGTTGCTTCTTGATTTCAACCATGTTTGTGACTTCAAGCTTAAGCAAGAACGTGATCTGACGGTGCTTGATACTCTTTCTCTGTGATTAAATAGTTTTGCCAAAACACTGTGTTTGTACGTTTATTGAATGTGTTTACAATACATAGATAGTTCGATGTAACAGTATTTCGGTTATATCCCGGCGTGTCAGCTTCTATGAAACCACGAACCTATATGGTGCTGGTTGACCAAGATAAAACATCTGGATTGGAATTCGAACCCATGGCAAATGGTTTGTTTGTTGTTTAACGCCGCACTCAGCAAATATTCCAGCTGTATGACGGCTGCCTGTAAATAATCGATTCTGGACCACACAATTCAGTGATTGACACCATGAGCATCGATCTACGCAACTGGGATACGGTGACATGTGTCTGCCAAGTCAGCGAGTTTGACCATCCGATCCCTTTAGCCTTTTACGACAAGCATTGTCGCCTTTTACGGCAAGCATGGGTTGCTGAAGACCTATTCTTCCCCGAATCTTCACGGGTCCCATGGCAAATGGGTTCTGAGCACAACTCAGCAAATTACGGTGTCTTATTACTTGCCCGTGAAGAGAGCACCCGTTTAATAAACATACAGCTGTATTACACATTGTGTAATACCAAAACGCGTGCTTATGTGCTCTCGGAACACTTTTCACGAACAAATATTGAAAGCTCTCATCGTCCCTTGGCTTATTCAACGGCATTGCGTGTGGAGATGATAGATCACTGAGGGCACAGCAACCTTGTTGCTAGGCTGACGTCACATGGCAAATTACGTCATCTGGTATTGTGACGTGATTGTAAGCTTTGAGGTGCAAGGCCCCGTTCCACAAGACGATCGTACCATGGAGCAACGCCAGTCGTAAGTCTATGTTAAAGTATGAGAGTTGTGATAAACTTAGCGCTACGATAATTTTGTAGAACTAAGAACTGAATTCTAAAGATGGACCGTTGTATGGTATTAAATTCATACGTTTCAACTTTTGACGTGTTTGAAGTATTGTTCTGTTAAACTCAATTGGATTATGCTGTGGACCGTGTAGGTGTCTGCCTATTCACACTCAACAGAATACAGTATGCTTTCGCTCGTCAGATACCAGAACTATTCACTCGTTTCATAAAGTTGGTATTACACGGGAGCTCGTTTAGTATTCTATATTTAGACCATAGTGCCATCCGTGGTTAATTTTTCTTAACTTACGTTAGTCGATCTGAGTAGACTTCGAGACCCAATGCCATTTACAAGAGTGAAATAGATAGGCCCAACTGTGAACAATATGTCAGTTGTATTACGGGCAGACAGCTTATTGTATATTTTGTGGGCTGAAAGATGACGCAGGTTAAAACTTTAAAG